CACTCAAACGCTTCTTTTACGTATCTTTAATGGCTGACCCCACCTGTTTGGGTATTCTGACCAGCTCACTTTGTAGAGAATTTCACGGGCTATCCAATGGTTTGTTTTTCAAAAATATATAATCTTTTGTACAACTGTACAATCAGAACTTTTGTACCTGCCGCTGAAGCTCTGAAACGATACGCCATAACTAATTTCCTAGAGAGTACAAGATAGACTAATTAAATTTTTAGGCGCTCTGCTTCGTCCTCATTTAGAAATGAGGAGAGGAACGCTTCTAAAATCTGAAAGCGTGAATCTATGGTAAGTATGAACGGCGAATCGAATCGATACAGTTAAAGAGAAATCCACCTTTTTCACAGGCATAGGATTTTTGTAAGTGCATTAAGTTCTTTCGCTCATTATCTGTTAACATATCAAGGTTTTAAACTGTGTCATAACAATATTTACATAGTGAAAACATCTACAGACGATTATAGATGTACAGTTTGTCAATTTTATAAGTTGCATGGAAAGATAGGAAGAATATTTATTTTTTCATCAATTTAAATTTTAGTTAGGAGATGAATGAATTGGAGACGAACGTTACTTGTGGTTGGAGTCAGCAAAGTCCATCCAACTACATAAGCAGAAAATGAAACTCTCATCATGACTCAAAATTTTTGTCTTATTAAACCAATGCGCTACCATTATGTTAACAGAACACATCTTAATTCGTTTATTGTAGCTTGGATATTTCAATCTTAGTGGTCATTGTCAATATAAAACTACAAGATAAAATACGTAGTTTAGAATGAACAGCGCTAAGAATTTAAAACTCTTATAGAATTACTCACACAGAAAGGAAATGAAAAGTATATACAACATTTAAAGGTCCAAACTCATCATTCGTTTAATTTGTCGTATTATAGTTATCATTGTCGTTTTGATTGTCAATAAAACAAGGCTAAAGAAAAGCCATAAGATTTCTTTATTATTTAATATTCTCAAAAACTGTTTCATTTCTTAACTTAAATGAAACAATGAAAGTACTCTTATCAATGGGCTTCATTATTTAACCTCATGAAATGCTCCTTGCAGCCAACTTCGAGTATACTTACCACCAGGGCACAAATGCAGTTGAGCAATACCAGATGGCGGCAGTATTTGCGCAATAGTTATTATTAATTGTAAATTTTTGTACACGATGATTATTCCTATCAGCCACATACAAATTGCCATCCGCATCAAATTGTACTCCTTTTGGTCCATGAAATTTGGTTATTTCATTGCCCTTACTCCCTCCTTCTATGAGTACTCCACTTTTTGCACCTACAGTCCATTTCACGAAACGATTATTGCCATAATCAGTTACATACATATTTCCATTTGCATCTAGTATAACTGATGTTGGTTCATCGAACTGCTTAAATCTGACCCTTTTTCATCACCACCAGTTACTGTTTGACCTGCCAATGAGCCTTTTAGCCATTTCTGTATACGGTCATTCTCAACATCTGCTACATAAATAGTATCATGTTCATCGACAAATAACTCTTCGAGACCTTGCAATTGGTTTAAAGCACTACCTGGACCATCAGCAGCAACAACAACTTCTTTTGTTTGTCCAACCGCCCATTTCATAATCCGATTATTTCAAAGATCTGATATGTAAAGATTTCCATTTTTATCATTGTAAAGGCCCCATGATCCAATGAATTGATTCATAGCTGAACCGGGACATACTAACCGATAATAGTTTGTCGTTCTTTAGCAGAGCCCTCTGCGATCACCTCCTGTGGAATTACAGTTAAAAAAACTGAAAAACTCGAGGCTTTTCGACTTCACATCTGTGCTCGGCTGATAACTCCGCGAGATGTGGTCGCAGAGGGCTCTGGTTGGTCTCATTCTGCTCACAATTTGATTCTCTATCGAGTGTGGTGACTTTCAGGGTCTTAGGGTTTTGAGAGAGTCTCTGGCGATCCGGGTCTCCAGCGACACACCTTGGACACCTTACAGGTTTCTGAAAGTAAGCCCATCGGATTCAGCATCACGTTCTACCTCTAAAACCATAGTTTTAGCCCTCTCTCATGAGAACTGACTCGTCTGGAGCCCGATGATCTGAAGGATTTGGGTGAAAGTGCTGTCGTATTCGATGTAGGTCGAATATCTTTTGAACAAAAAGAAATCTTGAAAAAGCGGGCGTATAACTTTGTAGAGCTTTAAACGACGAATCGAACGGTCTAGAAATTTTGGCTCTAGGACCTCTCCAGGCGGAGTTGAAGGATTTGCAAAAACAGTTGTCGCATTTTCGTCGCTGTAGTTTCGGCATTCCGCAAAAACCCATTCCTCGTCTTGGAGATCTGAAGACTACATGACTAGTTTCAGTTTTTGATGCTGAATCCGAATATCGAGACCGCAAATCTCTACGATCTTTCTCGGCGCAGTTATGGGCATTTTTCGAAAAACGGGTATTTTTCCGGTTTTTCACCATCGCTCCGTATTTTGGAATTATCTTGGCGAGGAAAAGGTTTTGTGAGCCGGGATGGTGATATTCGTGATCGCCGCCCGATTCTCTATCGAACGGTGTATAAACCAACCAAATCTATTTTTTCACTACATCTTTGAAATAGCTGCATCTTACCATGATCATATCCACCAGCAACAACCTTGAATAGAATTAGGTGTCTACTTTACAATACGATAGTTTTTAAGGTCTGCTACATAAACATTGTTCTGATCATCAACAAATATTTGAACTGGATTATTGAGCTGATTCAGTTCAGAGCCCTAATAACCACTTGCAACTATTATCCCAATTTTTTACCATTCAGCTGTTGAACAAATTGTAGGTGGGCTTCTTAATGTTCCAAGTGAAAAGTAAGAACAATATATGTTGCTATACAAATTTAAATCAGTCCTAACACAACAACAGAGTTTTGATGTTGAGCGATTCTTTTAAAACCTGTCCGGGTACGTACGTAAATTTCTTTCCATTCCCTTTCTATTAGTCCTAAATTATATAAATTAATCAAACAAGGTTATGTATGATTCAACTCAAAAAAGAAGCAAGAGCACTGTATCCTACATTAATACTATGTTTATGAGTATTTACAAAAATAATCGTGTATAGTTAAGTTACAAAATTTAGAAGTTAGTTCACAATGTTTGGTTGTTAATACATCAGTATTAAACAAATGAACAATGCGAGGAGTTTTAGTTGCATCGCTTGTTTAACAAAGAGTGACAAAAACAAATACACATACCCAATGACAAGAAATTCAATATTCTAAATGTAGAGCGTGTATAGGCAACTGAATTTTAACGTGCACCGTATTGGTCACTTATATTAATATCAGCAAACGCATCGTTATTATCATCATTTACAAACTGAAGTAACAAAATCAGATGAACATTCTGGTCAAGACATTCTTTCAAGGTCAAAAAGCGGTGTTTCGAAGTTCAAGTTCGAGACTTAACTTCGTTATCATTTAAATTTACATTTTGTAGTTCTATAAGTGTCTTTACATACACGATAAGTTAACTTGCTTTATAGAATTAATATGTAATAACAATAAAGCATTGTATAAGAAATAAATGTTCACTATCACCTTTATGTGTAAAAGGGCTGATAGTTTTCCTTCTTTCTTTCAATTTCATAGGAAACTTCATATACTTAGATATCTACAGCAAATCGAAAGCAAGAAAGAAGGAAAAAACATCCTTTATTGTAAACTTACTTTATCAACAAAACAAAAGCAGCAACATAAAATGCTTGTAGCACATACACTTTATGCTTCTACTGCGTAGAAAAGGAAATAATTACCCTTCGTAAAGCAAAAAAAAAACGCAGATCTATTCTTTTATCTATTTGTTTGGGTATTCTTATAAGATTTAGTTTTGCATTACTCAAATATGTAAACAAGCAACTTACTATGTTCGAAAAACAAAGGAAACTGTTTTTCAGGTAGTACTATTATTCGTGAGGTAGTCGTCATCAGAGAAAAAAATCAGAGGGAGTATCTGTTATAGAAGAAAGCTACAGAAGTAGCCAAACCACTTCTGACCATACACCAAAGGGATCTTGTAAAGGAGTTTTTTATTATCAGCAAAGATCGGTATCAAAACATTGTCGAAGAACAACGATATCATCCTTGAAGTCCAAGTAGTAACTGATCAACGATTTTGAATCATTTCCAGCACAAACAGTTTAAACAATTATACTGCGTCATTGGTATTAGAGGTCTCTTCTCATGAAAAACGGTGTTTTTATATCCATCATTGTAATTTTTAAAACAGTCACGGGAATCTTATCTAGTGTATCTGTCTAACAAAATATTATCCAAAGAAAAAAAAGAAGCTAAGTTTTTTAGTAAAACAATTATTATGACAACAAATTCCATTGGCCTAAAACAATTTTTAGTGCATTTTGTAGACAATTTCATTTTCTACAAAATGCACTATAGTACATTGAAATACGACTTCCGCAACACATCAAAAAATCTTCAACAATGAGTACCATTAGAATTAACATATTCGTGAAAATCATTCTAAACATATTTTGTATCTGAACTGAAATCTTGAGAAACGGTGTTTTTAAATCATCAAGCATTTTAAACATCTCAAATGATAAAAAATAAGCAAAATTTTAGCGTATTTTGCACAAATTTTTGTTTTGCAAGTTGTGCAATTCAAAATCAAGAGAGTCAATTTATATCGTGTTTTAAAACATATAAGGTAAACGGGTCTGCTTCTAATAATTCTGAAAATGCTAAAAAAACTAATGAATAAAAAACCAAGTTTTTTTTCTACATCGATTTTAATTTTATTCAATTAACAACAAATGTTTCTCTTTGTATATGCAAATTCGGGTCCAATAGCAATATTTTATAAAATGACTATCGACAAAACCAACCATTAAAAAGTACACGGAACAAATATTTAGCTGATTCAATGCTATTTAATACGAATATGATGTAATCATAAACATAAGGAGAATAAAAGTAGTTTATCTTTTTTGATAATAACATCATGAGAAATATAACATACGTTTCAAAATTAGTGTCGCATTAACATTTGTGTATATATAACACGGCGGCAATTTTTTAAATGACAGTAAGCGCATAAAACTAAAAATAAAGTAATGGCCTATTCAACAACAAAATTATGTTCATTATTTGTGATTATTCTAATTGTTATTTGCTGTTTAATTAATACACCATCAATGGCATGTCAAAAAGGCGGTACAATGTGTGGAAGTGACAAAGATTGTTGCAGTAAGAGATGTCGCATGATGCTGGTGAACCTCGGATATTTATGTAGTTAGTGAAACAATGTTCCATCATCTTGTTCATGCAAAGCAAATATTTGTAATAGCAAAAAAATACAACATATAAAGAAAAACATAAAAATCTTACTAAATCTCTTTTTATAAATTATGCGCTTTTCTTTTCTAACACTCTGGAGCAGTATTATATTAACGTTTGTTTTCTATTTATTATAAATTAATTCATCTAATAAACGTTTTTATTATCGCTCATGGGACTTCAGTTATAAAACCTTCAATCAAATATTCATGAAAAATTAGACTGCTATTTTGTGAAGTATACTGACTCTTTGAGTAGTACTAAAGTACTACAATAGAGAATTTTGGGAGTATTCTAGAAGACGGAAACAGATCGGTTATTTGTTCAAACCATTCGAAGTCTCAAATTCGGACGAGTTCGAAGTTTTTTTATGAGCCAATCTTTCTACTCATCTTTTGCCTGCTTCGGATATCTTATAGTAACTACTTTGCCACCATTCTTGTTATAAAAATCTGAGATAAATACATGATTAATTCGATTCTTCGTTATTGCTGATTTCATGAAATATTGTAGAATATCTAATACAAACATCAAAAACATCTTTCAATCATACATTGCTAAGACTATGAGTAGAGCACTATCTGTATACATGTATAGGACAGTTGAACTATCTCAGTTAACCAAGAGTGACTTCTTGGTCTTAAAAATAACTTTAGTTTTGAATTAAAAAATCGATGCAAGAGTGCATTTGATGTTGAGTCTAACTTCTAGTTACTAATCTAATACTGTAGTGAAGTATCATCGGGAACGACAATCATCTTTCCAGGGTGATAATTAGGTGATACATCGCAAAGAGTATTTGATTTACTTCGGGAAGATCACCTGGAAAACACGCACCACAAATTCATCATTACCACTCAATTTGTTGATGTTACAATAATTAATGATTATTGTAACTTATTGTCAATGCAATTTGCAAGAAATCTCAAAGAACAACACCGGTTTCAGCCACTTGTGCAGAAGATACCTTTAATAAAACTCAATGAGCAGCTTAGCGATAATATTGCCAGTTTGACAGATGAACGCATACGTACGAGAATTATGATTGTTTCACGAAAAGATGATGTGTTTCGGATTGGAATAGAAATACGTCAAATAACTGTGAGAATAATTCATAACCGTACAGTATTGACAGTCGTTTCAAATGGTATCGCGCCAAACGATATACTACAGGCTATTAAACTTTTCAATTATACACGAACTTCAAGTATTTTAAACGCATTGCTTATCAAAGATTTGTATGAATGTTTACAGGTAGATGATCAAATGGTCACGCAT